TTTTTTCTATTTGTTTCATTTTCTCTTTTGTTTTTGTTTTCTTTTTTAGAACAATTTCTATTTTTTTTCGGTTATGAAAGAGCTTTTAGAGAGTTTCTTTAAATATACCTTCCTTCATAATATTGGCATATATGTTAGTCTTATATAGAAGTAGGAGGTAATATGTATAATCTGCTAGAATTTAAGTGGATTGAGTTTGGGAAGATATTAAGGTGGGATAACTCGAAAGAAGGGATCGGCTCTTAAAAGAAGTCTTTTTTTTGTAAATTGGCATATATGTTTGCGCTACACAGAAATAGGAGAAAATATATTCTGCCTGAACATTGGTGGAATAAGTCTAAAAAGAAGGTAAAATATAATCGGTTTGAATATAGGTAGCTGAGTACCAAGCTATAGCAGGTTTTTAAATACGGGTATTACTGTATGTGGAGCTTGTTGGCAATATCAGTGTGATAACCATACTTGGGCACTTTTATAGCAACCGGGTATTTGCCTAATGCGTAAATTTAGATAGTTAGTTTTGCAAATTTTGTAAATTGCTAAAGTTTCTAATAAATTAGTGTAAGGTTATCGAAGGAAAAAAATAAATAAAAAAATTAAAAAAATTAAAAATTAAAAAAATTAGTAAAAATCTTCACAGCCAAATTTGCCTGTGTTACAATTTAAGAGATACAAAATTAGACACAATATGAAATCAAAGCAATTATGTTTTTTTAAAAAAAAAATTTTTTACAAAATTTTGAATTAAAACCTTTTTGCTAAAACACTAATCTAACTCTTACTCTAACTCTAACTAATGAATTAATTTATTGTTTAAATTTTATATTACACCAGAGCTTATAGATTATAATATAGTATATACAGTAGACAAAAATAAAATTCTAATAATATTTTTTTTGTTTAAAATTATTATTAATTAAGCATTAAAAGAATTTAATATATTATTACAATATACTGTATATTAAATCAAAATATATAGTTTTTTGGTTTAGTATTAGTTAGTTATATACAGTATTATAAGTTTATATAATTAATAAAAAAATTTTGCTTCAAAATAACTTTTTATTAATATACTACAAATGTCTAAAATTTGATATTTAAATAATGCAAAATCTTTGACTATTGCTATCTATAATAAAAACATAACCAATTTGTTTATACTGATTTTATAGTCCAATAGATCAATTTCTTTGAAATAAAGCATATTTTTGTTTTATTTATTAAAATAATTTAATTTAAGAATCTATATATAATAAGATGAACATTTATTTGGTATATTAAAACAATTTATAGCTAATTTCTAAAAACAATAGGGCATTGAATCAGAAAGAAAGTTGTAAATAGGCTATTGAATAAGACCGAGGGTGCAATATGCAACGTTATACAGTAATCCACAATATAACTTACAATATAAATTACATTGTTGAACTTACGACATAGGTTACATTTGTCAGGTACGATATTACAATCCTAGTTCCGGATATTTAAAGAGTCTGTTTACGTAGTTTTTACTTTAATTTAATAACTATGAGCCGGATAAATTAACTATGTACTTTACATTTTTGTTTATTAACATCCATTTCAATGAGATTATTCTTCAGCGAAATTTTCATTGGAACCATTGCGACTTCATTGATCTGAAAGTCCAATTCTGATAAACAACAAATATTAATCAATGCTATCTGATAAAGGAGGGTGCTTAATAAACTTCGGATCGTAATTCTTAAATTCTTGTTCCATGTCTTTAGCAATTCGACGTATTCTCTCTTCGGAAGACGATGGTATAAGCACCTTCTCCCATAGTCCTTCTAGGTTACGATATTTTCTTGCTTCAGGAGTGAATAGATGTATAAAAATGTTCCCTGAGTCGATTAACACCCAATCGTCCGAATCTCGACCTTCAATGATCGGATAGTTGTTGATAAATGAATTCGATTGATCTTCACTCCGACGTTTTATGTTATCTTTTAACTTTTAGAAAAAATTTCGTTTAAGATGTTAAAGATCAATTCTTTTTACTAGAAAGCTGTAGTTCTTACCATTTTATAAAGACTGCTTGCGGCTCCAACTAAATGTCTAATAGTTTTTCCTTCACCAATTATCATCCAATTGGTAAAGTCACATTTTTCTCTCACATCAAGTAAAGTAATATTTTCTATACCTTCATCTTCCAAAAATCTTATAATATCAGATGAGGTTGTAAGTTCATTTGAAGTAGATGAAAGTTGATTTGTGCGTTGCCATAATGGTATAAATTCTATGCTTTCTTCCTGTAGATTCTCGTATGATGGATCCACAAACCACACATCATCTGCGTCATTATGCGGCTCATCGTCATCATTATATTCGTCACCATTATATTCGTCATCATTGTATTCGCCATCATTGTATTCGTCATTATTATATTCGTCCTCTGAAGAGAATAATCCAGGATATTGAGAACGGTCAATCTCTTCAAGATCTTCTGTTACTTTATTCCTTTTCGATGATAATGACGTTGTAAAATGTGCTATGTTACATTGTGAAAATTTTGATTTTTTTATAAAACAAGGATTAATTCTATATGTTTGCAAACATTTTGTAATTATCATTCTACGCAATGGATTTAAAATCATGCTTTAAAATATCAATATAAGACTGGAAAAGTTAATTTTCTGATTCTCATAACACAGTTTCGTAAAATCTTTTATATTATGAAAGCCTCTTTTTATGGATAAAAAATTTTTATCTTATTATCAACCTATCAAAACATTTCATCTAGATGATCAGACTAGAATCTGAAATGGATTGCATACGTATGTTTAGGGATGTTAAAAAGTCCGTCTGGTCCGGTCCCGGTCCAGTCCCTAAAAAGTCTGGTCCTGAACTAGTTAGGAACT